TGGATGGGATCGCCAGTAGACAACAGCAAGAAAGATGCTGCAGCCATATGTATCTATCACCTCGGCTAAAATCCGCATAGACTCGAGGACATCACCTTTGACTTGGTGAACTTATTGGCAGTTTTATTTTACCGTTATAGTGAAGTTATATTTACTGTTCTAATTAGATTTTTCAACCATTTAACTGTGAAATGTTTATGGTATTATTGATAGCGTAGGGTCTACTCGTAGTAATATATCGATAGCTCGATAACCTTATCCAGCAATCTATATAACGTTTCGAGTGTCGAGCGCCCTTCAAGATATTAAGGGCCTAGGTGAGCTTTAACCTCAATCTCGACCATCATGTTGTCATAAGCCAACTTTGCTACACCGATATCGGTCACAATCAGGCGATGATTGGGACAGTATTTTTCAATGCTGCGCCAGAAGTGTGTAATAGCTTTGTCGCTTATTGGAGCGCAGTAGCAGCGAATCTAATAGACTTGCTCTCAGCCTCTGCCACCAGCTTGCTGCAGGGTGAGCTCGATATTCGCGAATGCCTGATCGGTCTGTATGGCCAAGTCGGTCGATATCTCCTCAGTGGTGCGATCTCATCCGCCTGTTTCGTCGTTAGTTTTAAATGATTTAATCTATTTCACTCCACTCGAACTACTCTCAATCGTTAGAACTTACCTTGTCCGAAAATTTTAATTATATCTCCAACCCGAACGGCCTGACTATAAGCGCTTACGTGTTTATCGCCGTATCCCTCGTAGTTACTATACTTTAGGTGAGACATGGTTAGAGAAAACGTGGAGACTCTTGGGAAACCTGATCTTCTGGGGAGGTGTGGTAATGACTCTGAGGGATATTCATAAGGCTTGACCTTCGCATTATATACTTGATTATCTTTGAAAGCCGCGGGTTAGAGGCATTACTATCTAAAGGTGGATCCTTTTTATCATCTTATGATGCTTCGTCCGCTACTTCGTCCATATTTTCGGCCGACACTAGTATAGGAACATCTTGGGGATCGCGCGCCGCCGTGCGCTGGCCCTTTATTGACTCGACTTTGCCACTCTACGCGGAATATATTGTACTTACGGAAAAAGGGCCTTATGCATCTAAGCGTATCCAGAAAGCGAACGTATTCGAGAGACATACAGACAGGAAAGAACGCCGCTCTTACTAGCTGCTGCTAATAACTGCCGAATACTACTAACGACTACATAGCGGTGATGGAGCATTTTCCTGAAAAGACGTATAGAAGTTCCGAACCAAGATTACGGACTATAAAGCAATACTCAGCTTTTATTTGCACAGCGCTATAGACATATACAAGATGACAGTCTCCCCGACCACATTTCATTGGCCTTCTCGCGATACCATTCAATATATCTACTTCATTTATCTCGGCACTTATCCCTGTGTTATTCCAGGGTAAGTGAGGTTATAGTAGATTTGCCAACAACGCTAAACCCGGAACCAAGCCTACTTAGAATCAAAAAAATGAGATTCGTGCGAGCGGTGTATACGAATTAGTGCGAGCGATGTATACGAATTAGTGCGAGCGGTGCATACGAATAGATACAGGCCTTGTTAGTTTAATATACCGCCAAGTTACGGAGTATTTCCTGACTTATTCGTGCACACAGTCAACTTGATACTTGGGTTAAAGCCCATTCATGTTTCGAGGGAGAAACACACTTGTCCGTGGCCAGCTTTCAATTTTGACCACCATTAATTGCCACGCATCACGACTTTTTTTAATTGGGCTCTATGGCCCGATGAATCTTTGGTTATTATGTTTATCAAGGCAGTATCTTTTGCAGATTTCCTGACTACCGTGCTGTGATAAAGACCATACGCCGCCGCTTCCATTCGCCTAAAATCATTATGGAAAATCCGAGTGATGCTCGATGACACTTTATTTTACCAGAGATGTGGATACTTTAAAGGCAGCGTGATATTTAAAGTTTCCTGTCTAGAACAGACAGTCTCATTAAGTTTAAAATTCAACCATAGAGGCAGAGCCACCTAGTCAGCTTTCCCTAAGCCTATTGAATGGTTCCTTGCAAGGCAGAATAAGGATAGTCCGTGGCCCCAGTGGCAATCCGCCAAATCATGTTGCGAACAATTGAAGCCGACCCGACGAGGTTTTACAAGGAGTTCTGGTAAGAGGCAGTGTTATGTAACGCTCAGTTCTAAGCGATGTCGGGGGGCTAAATAGGATGTATTGACGAGTCTGACCTCCCTCTCTCGAAGGGAGATCTCTATCTATTATATAGGCAAAAGGAGCGTTACAAGGGAGGGCTTTCTCGCCGTCGCACAGCACGCCGCGTGGAGCCATCAGCCGTCCTCGGGCGGCGTTCTATCGGTCGAAGTTCTAGACGGGGAGAAAGCCTCCTTGTGAAGTTCGAGAATATAGTTATATATGACTAAAAACAGTGAATTGATGGTGTTGCAAAAGTTGCAAGGAACATGAGGGCGTCAGCGTTCCGCCGAAGGCGCTAAGGCGTTAGGCGAGAGTATTTAGCTTATAAAGACGGTCACTGACAGCGCCCGCAACTCAGCCTAGTCCAACAGGCAGAGACTGCCATAATATCCATCATAGTTAAATATACTCCTCATTACTACCTATTTAGTCGCTTAGGGAGAAACAAAATTATAAACTCCGCCGCAAGCTAAGATCGTGACTACTATTTGATGGGGATAAACGTTAATCGGACGAACTTTAATCCCTACGAGTCTGCGATAATGCTTTCTTGATTAGCATTCGGACATATAGAGTTAGGGGTGTTATCTTGTCACCTCAGTTAATAGCTATTCCATGGCTTCGAGCGGTTTAAGCTCGATGGTAAAGCAGTTGACAGGCCAGCAGCTGGCGTCGTTTCCGTACTGTGTGACAATATGGTGCGAGTATAACACGTAGTCAGAGAGGCCCTGCGCAACAAGCTAGATGTTTCTTTAACTCAGTCACGTTCAGCTTAGATCCAACCTAGTTCTTCGCATCCAGAGAAGCTCAAAACCATTCTGAAGGGTCTTCCTCAATATCCTTCAACAGCTCCTTACAGGCCCGTAGCAATCGCTTGTCCAACCGTCCCTTCTTGCAGAACTGGACATTGCCTCTTAACTGATCGAAACTTGACGCCCCGAGAATAATCGCATCTCCCTCTCTCAACGCTGAATGATACATAACCCACCTCAAACAAACCTCCGTCGGGGTCACTCCTGCAGCATCACATTTCTTATAAAATATAACTATGGCAGCGTTGATAATCAGCTTATTAAAGGCTTTAACATAAAATGGCAAACAACTAGGGTCCCAGCGACCTCCAGAAAACGAGTCTATTCCAGTCACCAAGCTTACCTTACCGGTCAGGAAGCCTCCTGTAAGTGGGCTTCGTAAAATCAGCATTTTCTCAAACCTAGCGATTGAAGGCGCGGCGAACCTATAAGTATATATTCGGATATTATGCTGTTTCAAGAATGGGAAAAGGTCCGTTTCAGGCGTTCTCCTGATAGCGTTATAGTGACCTTACCAGACGGTCGGTTTAACATAATCATGTTTATCACAGACTTGCAGCTATTCTTGCATTTACTCGAGGGAGTGGTTACATAAGCCAAGCTACGCCATTATCAGCAGTCTAGAAGATAACATTAAGTCGAGACGTACCGCTTTGAAAAGTCCGGCTCGATAACACTCATTAAACGCGCGAGCACTCTCCTCGACGGGTGTGTTTGAGTCTAGAAAATACGTATACAGGATATTGACTTGCTTCATACCTAGTAGTTCCAAACTTTTCTCTAAGCTAGCACTAATCGCAGCTTCGAATAACCCACCAGCGATGACTATTCACTCGATCTTGGTGTCAATCACAAATTTTCTCCCAGCTGCTCGGCTCTCACCCAACAATCGTTCACTGGCCCGTGGATTTCCTAGTGGAGAAGATGCTATCAAGTCTAACTCCGTGAGTTCCAAGTCACTCAATACGTCCAATAACTCGGAAGTTTGCTCTCTACTAGTCCAGACGTGGGTTATGGCACCCCTCTCCGATGCCTTCAGCACCAAAAACAAGTCGAACTTATGAAGGATTTACCATGTTTGATCGGTGGAGCGCTTTTAAATAACCAAATAACGCGATATTGAGGCTGTATTAATCTATACTCTGGTTTAGCGGCTCTTGGGGTCGGTGTTAATCAAAATATATGAGTTGATGTGATTGGCTACGGTGGAGGTGTAACCTGGCACTATGTGAAAGCCGAACACTGATTTATACACTATATGATTGGAATTGATCAGGTAACAACAGCATTTATGCGGAGCAAAAGCGGCGGAGTTATGCCCGGCACTGCATAAAGACCGAGTACTGATTTATAAGACATTTTGATGGGACTTCGTCAGCTTCAGGTGCATGTATAGGGTCAAAGGCATCGCTTGACGGCCTACACAAATTGACAGTCTGTACAAATTGACAAGCCCGAGCTATTGGTGGGCGCTACGGGCGGAGTAGCATGAACTAACGTTATATATCCCTGCTTTGCCTGCCTAACTTAATATAACTTAGACTTTAGGCGCCTTGGAGAATTGCTGGTGAAGAATTATCTTTAGTATCTTGTCTGATCCATGCCTTGATTGCTCTGCTTCAAATCCATCTAACGATAGCCCACCACGACGCCACTCGTTCCTTCTTGACTTCTAAATTACTTCCTCTAGTCAAGAACTCGATAAGCTAGAGCTCGCTGCGATCCTCCGCGAAGTAAATAATCGATAATAGAATAATCGTCGTTGTTACGAGGAGCAACGGTGGCATGAATATTTGTGTACTGGTGGTTGACGACGTGTTAAGCTTTCTTTAGACGCAGACGGCGCCGTCGTTGTTGGCGGTTTAAATGCTACGATTTACGCGGTATATTTCTCGGCTAAAGCTGACGTCCGCGCTGCTATCCATCCTGACTACGGCGTCGGTCGAGATAAAGCAAAGATTAGAGGCCTGCTTGCGGCGGAAGAATGAGGCATGGCTACGGCGGCCGTCGCGACTGATAGTGCCCGCGTCGACGACGGCGCAGATATGCTCCGCGGCGGGATAATCAGTCGCGTCAATAGACTTGTATCCGCGTGTGGTGTAGCGAACGGTCAAATCGTTATACAAGCAGTGGAGCTCTTGAAATCCGCCCCTTGGCCTCACGCAGACGCGGATGCGTCAGTCGAGGGACGCACTCGTATCCACGGCATCCTGTGCATAGATTCTATCTCACTCGGGAATCTGAATGATGCAGGCTTGGTCGTGGCGAGCGAAAGCCATGACGGTATTATCGCGGCCGAAATGATGCGTTCATTCAGGCCACGCCTCGCTTTCTTCAATGATACTGGCTTTGGGGTCGATCGTGCGGGTGCCGCCTGCTTGCCTGTTCTCGATTCTGATGGCATTGTCGCTGTTACGGTCGCCGCGGACTCGGCGTGTATCGGTGACAACAGGTTGACGCTTATACAGGGCATTATCTCGGCTGTAAACGAAACGATATACGGAATAGGGGCTAGGGTTGGGGAGACAGCCCGGAGAGAGCCTAAATTATAATACGTAGAAAGATGAAAAAGCCACCCACATTAAATCTATACTAATCCTATCCGCCAAAGCCCCTTATTCCTTGTGTTTTAAACGCAGTAGTCGCACCGTTCCATGCCAAGGCAGCGGTCTTTAATAGTGGGACGATCGAGCGCAGTCACAGTTTGGTCTAGATGCTGTCGGAGGGTTGTCTCCTTATCGAGAGCGGACACGCCCGTTCGCGTATATTCTTCTCTCGTAGCATTAATATCTAGCTAGAGCTTGGACGGCGGAGGTCATGAAATAGGGAGCGCAGGAAGTCTGTTCGATATATTATCCGCATTTTTAACCGATACTATGAGGCTATACGACTTTCTATGCACTACGACCTAGATATTTAGCACATCGATACCTAGCCCTAGCGTGCTCATCACTACGAGTATAGACTCGACATATAATACTCTACGCGAGCAAAGCACAGCGATAACAGGTGATATAATGCCCCTTATCGAGCTGGACTTTTCAGCCTTTTAGCAAGTAGAACTTTGGTGGTAACGTGGCTTTACGGCCAAAAGTGAAGGACTGAGGCACCATGTAATTTTAATGCCGTTTCCAAGTCGGAATTCTTTCTTTCAATCTTAGCATCACCGATACGGTACTGTAGAGAGGTTTAATGACAGGCCGGGGTGTCCTGCTCGCTGGGCATTCTCACTCCCTTAATATCCTACGTCTTGGTGTTCAGGTGTGGACGCTGGTCATTGGAAAGATCGACGCCGGAGACATTGACGACGGCTTGCCACGCGGCTTCCTGGTTGGCGCGATCGTGAAAGTGTGGGTGATGTATCGCCTTGATTGGGCCGGTGAGCTTCGTGGGCGCTGAGGCGAAGAATTGCCTTGAGGCGTCGGTTCCGAACTTCGATGCCTGGAGATACCAATGAGCGGCGATATCAGGAGTCTAGATCATACCAAGAATGAGCTTCACCAGCGGTATTATCAGCCACTTCAAGGCCGGGCCAGCGTTACGGGCCACCTTAGTGTCCGGCGCGCTATCGAGCGACACAGCGTACACAACCATGCCGGAGGGTAGCCGGCGCGACAAGGCAGCAACCCACCAAGCTATTATGAGCTTCGCGTTGGCATACGCCCGGTTGGGCACGTACTTCATGTTCGGCCCGTTGCGCAGAAGGGCTTCAATAGCGGCTGTTCGGTCACCCTGATGGTGTTTGGCCGCGAAAGCCGCGACGTCTATGAAGCTAAACAGGGGCATGTCCCCCCGAGCAGGTTCCGCGCCGGCAATAACAATCCGCGCGTTAAGGCTCAGTAGGTTGGCGCGAAGCAAACCCACAATCAGTTGATGATGGCCAATTAACGGGGCCTGAGAAGCCTTGACGCCCGCCGCAGTGATTACGCGTTTACTCCCCGAGACCATTCCTGCATTGAGCAGTAGAAAATTAAGCGGCCGACTCCGCTTCACGAGCTCAGCGAGGGCGGAGTAAACACTAGACGGCTTATCCAGATCCAGCTCCAGCGGCGTGAAGACCTATGTTGTGGTCTCCCCGGCGAGCTCGGTAGCCGTTTCCTCGACCCGAGCCATGCTGCGCCCGATGACGAGGATCTCGCCCCAGCCGTCTCTGGCAAGAGCGCGGGCTACCGCATAACTGAGCCCTGAAGTGGTGCCGGTGACGAGCGCGATCGAATGTTCTATATATATTTTGTGGCGATGCCTTGCTGGTAATACTAGAAGTGGATATTTACTAGATAATTGCTGTTGTGAATGTTTCTGGCTTACGTCAAGAGAAGACTATACTCTCCGAAGAGTAGCGGCCTGGCCGCTCATATAGAGTAAACTTGGGCCACGCGGGACGCCGTTATATCGTGGTTACGCACAGATACTACTGTCTAGTTATCATCATGGCCTTTAAACACGCCACACAGGGATTACCAGCCTCGATGGTGGAAAGGGAAAGCAATTCAATATTTTACATAATGTTCCGCCCGGAGTGGCCCAATAATGTTCTCTAAGTGCCCACGCTGATAAATACAAACAGTAAAGCATTATTAGTATGATGAACTGTTCCCCAAGGGCATTTCACTTCACAATTCTCATGGGCTACTGCGGTCTAATTTGACATATATAAAGAAGATGGGCAATCCGTTCTGCGGTGCGGCCAATACAATAAGCCATTCGATAAGCGTGAGTCGATACTTCTGCAAGATACTTCTCTAGCATGACGAGTCTAGACTGACTATTGCGCTTTTTAGAGTCCACGCTGAAGAGACATGAATACTATTATCGGTCGCGAAGAGCTGGTCCCACCAGTCGACCTCGATCCTGTATTTCTTGCGCCGGACGAAAGGCGCGATACGACAATAAGCGGCCCGCATGCTCGAGGTGCTTATCTAAGGCTATCGAATACCATTATCCAGCGAACATGACCAAAAACACAGGGTCGAGGGTCCAGTTCAGTGGTGATACAATGACCGAATAAGGCGAGAAGACGTCTTCATTCCTGGCACATTTCCGCGGCATCGAAGATTGTCAAGCAGCAAGTAACAACAATGCGCCGCCTATATCAGACCTAGAGTTCGTAAACATCGAAGAGAAATATCTTGACTAGGATAACCTAGATATTGATTTCATCGACTTCATGAATACGCAAAGAAACGGCGAGATGGTTCAGTACCTCTCAACACCTTCGACCAATTATATAGCTTAAGTACAATATACCCTCGTTCCTCTCAGTATATCGATACTGAGTGTGCCAACTTGCAATGTACAGTCACTTATGTAACCGACCTAATATAAACACTAGGACGTCAAGAACTGTCGACCTCATACTGCACACCCTAAAATGCTACCCCCTAATGATACAGCGCCACAACACCCTCCCACCCTTTATCCACTCACGTCTAGTATCTCTCGAAGGCGAGAGCAATACCATGGAGCCACTGACCAACTGCATTAATCTGATGCACATAATCAGCCACGGTGTCCGAGGGAGCCGCAAACTGTTCTGGAAGAATGTACAGCTGGAATGTGAACGTATATGTATAGAGATACGTTGAATTCATCGCGGTAGATCTAATGGAGCTGACGCCCATGTAGCATTTAAGGCTGAACAAATAGGAACTGCTTGTCGCCATGCAAGCCCTCTTAATTTACGTTCTCATTAGGCTGGAAGAAGGCGAGATAGAGTATAATAACTTTGACTCCCTTTTGGGAGCGGCGGTGACTGTAGGTTCTTCTCCGGCCTCCTTCCTCTTGCGTTGGGCCCCAGGAATGATAAACTGTAGGTAATATATCAACGAATACAACAGTTCGTTTAGGACAATATCAGGAACAACCATGATTCCATGCTTTATGATGATCGTCTCAAAACAAACTGGAAAGAATAGATATTTGAGAAATTAAGATGGAGGTTTGGCCTTCCACTTCTGTCTACTCTTTCGGAAAGATACTGATTGACTAAAAAGATTGGCTGTGGTCTGCCGAGTCCTTAACATGGTAGTCTACTTCGACCCAGTAGCGTTATGCATGATCCAAACGGGCCTGATCCTCGGGCCATTGCCGGCGAGGAAACAGCTCTAGGAAGCAAGTGACGAGTTTGCGTGGAAGGTGGAAACTAAAAGAGAACAAGGGTTCCAGACTGACTTTAAACTGGCGGTGAATAGTGAGCTGGTGAAGCTCGAGGAAGATTATTTATACTGTGACGACGCGGTATTGCTATGTCAGTCCTTAGATACTACCAGGATCTCGGCGACGAGCAATGCACATCCTTAAGAGAAATGGTGCTCGGGCATGGATGGATTCAGCGGGCTAGTGATGCTAGCTACTTTGTTAGTGGTATAGTTGAATTTTCATCATCGCGTTGGTCATTGACATTAGGACGTGATTGCTAGAACTTAGTCTTACCCTCACTATCCCCAGAGTATATACCCTCTATTTGGTGTTTGATCACCAGCCGGTATATTCACGATATCGCGACGATCCAGGTTTTAGCGAGCGATCCTGAGGTCGAAAAGGCTTAGGTTGAACCTCTTCTCATTATCACTACCAGATTATACATTCGTTAAATCTGTAACAGCTTTAGGTAAGTTTGGTTGCCCGTGGTTCTCTTTATTATCAAGTAGGTATACAAGGCAGAAGACGCTTAACAATGTGGAAGAAAGATTAGGGCCCTAGCTACTTCTCCTTTCCAAACAGCGCCCGTCGAAACATCTCCTCCGCCTCGTCAAGGGGAACTTGGTTATGAAAATAGATGATTCCGAGATTGCTGACAATATCAAAAGTAGATACATAATCCACTCCTAACGCTTTCTCCTTTCCGGACAGCCCTCGCCGATACACTCTCCTCTGCTTTGTCAAGCTTGCCTTAATCTTCATAGAGAACACCAAATAGTTAACAATCGCGAAATCAAAGCTATGGTCTGCACCTATTGTCTTCTCTGTCCCAGCTAGCGCCCGTCGATCTATCTTCTCCGCAGCTCCAAGTTGCACCTGGCTTTGTAGTAATTATGGAATAGGATATACTTTCTCGGGTCGATCAAAAATAAGACCAGGGTTAGATTTGACAGCCTCTGGAGTCATATAAGGTGAGGGTAGTAGATATTATGGAAAGGGAATAATGTGTTTTGTTATTCTCCACGTCAGAATCAAGGACGAGAATAAGAAACACCACGGGGATAGGAACTTACCTGGGTGGTAGTCACCAGTCAAGGTGCGATCGCCCATAGAACTAGCTCCCACAATCTCAGTGTCTTGGGCACTAATTTCCATTCTAGACCCGAAAGTGGATGTGTTCCCAAGATCGCTCTTTGAAAATGGAGCCTAATAATCTCGTGTAGCTTCTGTATCCTGCTGAGACACCGTTATTTATAGCTACCCGTGGCTCACCCCGAATAATGCTATATAGGGTGGAGACCATTGTTATCTCACCTACTAGATTATCATGTAGAGCTAAACACGCTAGCTTATTCTTTGACTTAGAGAAACCGAAGGCTTCTTTATACTCGGCAAAGACATCGTGGATTCGGCCAACAGACAATGGCGTATCCGAATTTTTGCCACTGCCACTGCGCTCGCGATCACCACTACCTCGAGCAGGTGCACGAGTGTGGACAGCATCGTCCTTGGGCTATTTAATACCTCTATCTTGCTCTTGGCCTGTACAATTAGCGGTATCGTACTTCGTCGAGTAGTCTGTAGTGTTCTTTTCTTGATTCGTGACTGGATCGATACACCCTCTAGGCAACTCTAGTGATCGATCGCCAGTATACGCTAAATCCATGACTTCGTAGGTGCGTCTATCGCCATTAAGGATAGTGCTATCTTGGTATATATTAAAAGACTGATCATCGCCTAGTATAAACGGCTTCTCTAGAATAACACGTCAATATATACAGTCCAACTATACTTCACTATAGTATAGAGACTCTTTCGACTCACCTTAACTAGCACTGACTTACACGCTTAAGACAGTCCCAGCATTTAAACAGGCAATTATCTCCTTGCTGTTGCCCTCGCGACCGCCATCCGCGCCAGTTCTATCGACCGAGGCTCGAGATAAGATCGCATTGGAGTTGAAGTTGTTTCTTGTTCTAAATCGTGTTTTGTTCTGTCTAAATATCTCTTGGAGAGATAGAAGGTCGCTGGTGTCGCTGTCATAGTTAATATCATTATTATCCTCGTCAGGGAGTGCTCCCTTGTTAGGGTTGACTTTTTCATTGTATATTATATTGTTAATATGATCTCTAGCCATTCGAATACTATGGTCGTTAAGATCATCATATATTAATCCCCAAAGTTGATGAGATATAGTTAAATCCAAGAAATCGACGGAATCCGCTTTGCCTATAGATTCCGACTGAATCTGAGATTTAAAGCTTTATGTTACGTTTCGCTTCACCAAGGGTGTCACTGCATGTATCGTTTCCTGATAAGTGGGAAGTATAAGAGGCGAGGTCACTAAGAACGAAGTACTTAAGCGAGTACTAGAGCGAAGTGATCACAGCCCAAAATATATGGGTATAATCGTGAACAAAGTTGACTACATAGTAAGTCTATATAATGACCGTATATATATATATTAGTGGTGTTGTGTTGTTTTGCTATAATGTTATAATACTGCCCACCACAGCACCATAGTACTACATCATAACACCTTCTTTCCTAAACGGGAAATCACGTGCGCCAGCCTCGCTCGCGAGACTACCTCGCTTAACTTGCCTCTTCCTGTCGTCCCATGATCACGGGTTAGTATACAGCCTATAGGCAGACCAACTTATAACACTTTCCCCCTTCTAGATTTATTCATTATTCACAACGTATATAAGATAAACGCTTCTTCTTGGTTCTTCTCTTCTTCTTTCTTCATGACTAACCATGCAGGCCTTCCGTGTTAAGAAGCCGTCTCGTGAAAAATCGAAGTCTTCTAAGCCTCTTATTTCTTAGTTCGTTTATTAACATTAACTCGCCAATTCTATCTTTATCCCCGAGAATATCGCCATGGTTGCTTACTCGCAGTGTATAGTCTATAGAGCTATATGTTATTATAATCGCGCGCAATCAATAAAGTGCGCTGAGTGTATCTGTCATTAGCGTGACTATGATAAGACTTTTACCCTAGCCGAATTTCGCCGAGTAGATAAAGAAAAGAAGGCCTTTTAACGTAAATCCCGCGAGCACTAATGTCGAATTCTTTATTTATATATTATAATGATTAAGACGCGTAAAGAGTTATTAAAGGCGATAAACAAGATATTTAAAGCCAAGAAGAATCTGATCTTCATGAAGTCCAAATTAGTGAAGAGTAAGAAGTCGTTAGCGAAGTTAGAAGAGAAGTTTAGTGCTATATTATAACGCGAGATATATACTTTAGATATACTAAATAATCTTCTTAAGAATAGCGAAGTAACTCTAAATAATCTTAACTTCGCCTAGGCCAAAGCCCCTATTGTTACGTTTCGCTCCACCCGGGGTGTCACTGCACGTATCGTTCCTTGATAAGTGGGAAGTATAGGAGGCGAGGTCGCTAAGAACGGAGTACTTGAGCGAGTACTAGAGCGAAGTGATCATAGTCCAAAACGTATGGGTATGATCGTGAACGAAGTTAACTACGTGGTAAAGCTATAGAACGACCGTGTATATATATCCATCACTACTCAGTCTCGCTCAGTGGTGCTCAGGCCAAGCACACTGAGCACATCTGAGCATTCCCGAGTGGTGCTCAGCGGTGCTCAGCGTCCCCAGGGCTGAGCCGGCTAAGCGTATCACGTGATCCGTGCCGTGATTCTTCACACGTGATTTCCTGGTATAGCTTCCTCTCTTGTCCTGGCTATCGTCACAGCTTTGTATACAGCCTGCTCGCAGGCCGATTTGTAACACTTTCCCCTTCCTAGATTTATTCGTTGTCCTCAACGTATATAAGTAAGTGCCTCCCCCTCCTCATGCCCTTCTCTTCTTCCTTTCCCATGGCTTACCATGCCTCAGTTTCGTGTTACTAAGCCCGCGCGCCCCTCAACCCTCCGTCGTCAGAAACTGATCGATCGTATCGAGTCCTTTGGTCGCGAATTGTTCGGTATAGATCGCTGCACACCTTGCCAAAACTCGAACTCCGTCTGTTTCGTCCTCGATAGCTGCAGCAAGTGTTCATCCTACACAAAGAAGGGCGTAAAGTATTGCGACAACACTTTTTCGGATGAAGAGTTTGACTCCCTGACTGCTTAACGAAATCGCCTCGTCGAGGCGGCCCGCCAAAAGGGCGCAGAGCTGGCCCAACTGATTGCCGCCGTCAATAAGGCTCACTCTGAACGCGAGCGTCTTCAGCGTGAGGCCGACCTATTGTTGGAAAAGCAGAAGCAGATGCTGGTGCGGGAGGTCGAATCGCTGGATGCTTTGGATCACGTGGATCCTCCCGAAAAAGCGTTAGCCACTGTTTTTATTGGCATGGATAACAAACAACTCGAGGAGATATTTGAGTTGTTATCGGGGGCCCTTCTAAACTTCGAAGGCCCCATCCCGATTAACCGCCCCTTATAGTTACGTCAGATGTTTGGTGAGTTTTCTCCTTTGTTTCTTCCTTAAATACTCCTTGATCATGTTCCCTGAGAGATATTTCGGTGGTTTCCATGTGTTTTCTTTGTGTCTATATCCTAACCATTTGACCAGGTATCGTAGTTTTCCATTGGTTTTTTAATGATCGAGGATCCCCTCCACATCGTACATCGGTTGTTGGGTTTTCTCATGTATTAGCACCGGTCCTGGTTTGGCGTTCGGTGATGCTTTTTCAAGAAGCGATTTATAGAAAACTGGATAAATGTTTATCCCTCCAGATAGTTCCAATTCAAAGTTCACTAGTCCAAGTTTTCTTTTAATCTTGTAAGGTCCAATCTTAGTGTAATCTAGTTTATCAGATAGTCATTATATTTTAATGTTTTTCCTAAGAAGGTACACTGCCTCCTCTTCTTTGAAGTCTAGTCCCTTAGATCTTCGTCTGTTCGAGCTTTCAACTGTTTTTTGTGATATTTTCTTAAGTTCTTTCTTCAAAAGTTCATGTAGTGATCATAATTTCTCAACCGAGATTGCTACCTTTTCTATAATTAGTTTGATGCCTCTGGCATCCTTATCCATCCTTGGGTGAAACCCGTGGTTTGCGTAGAATAGTGATATTTCTGTTGCTACTGCTTTGTTATTGAATACAAACTGCGCTATAGGTAGTAGCTATATCTAGTCATTCTACTGGAAATTAATATAACACTATAAATACTATTCCAGCGTTTGATTCGTTCTTTCCGTCTGCCTATCGCTCTGTGGGTGAAAAGCTGTTGACAGCTTTTGATGGACTCTCGTGAGGTTCATTAACGATTGCCAGAACTGCGATGTAAACAGCTTATCCCGGTTTAAGTGTATTTCTTTCGGCATCCTATGTCGACTAAAAACGTCCTTATATAGCGCGTACACTAAGTCTTTAGCTATCGATGACTCCTTATATGGGATGAATTCTGCATATTTGGTCAGGATGTCGTTTACCACAAGTATACTGTCGAATTCCACACCCGTGAGAGGTTCTTTAAACTTTGGTAGCTTTATGATGAAATCTAATGCGATGGTATGCCACGCCTTTTCTAGTATCGTTGGCGTTTAGAGTAACCCGTAGGGCTTATGTCTCGTGTGCTTTACTTTGTGGCATGTATCGCAGTTCTTGATGTATTCTGCTACGTCTTTCCTGACCCCTTTCCAGGTAAAGTCCCTCATGACTAATTCAAGTGTCTTCTCGATACCTGGATATCCTGCTGACTTATCATCATGTCGTCCTTTAATGATTTCTTTCTTTTGCTCTTCTGTCAGCTCAATATCGATAAGAGCCAGCACCTCTATCTCAGGTGTTATGTAGATCAAGGCGCTATCTTTTTCCTTGAGTACTACCATGGGCTCTGGTTTAATGTTTTCCATGTAATCTGGCTGTCTGCTAAGCGCGTCTGCCACAGCATTTTCTTTTCCTCGAATGTGATGTATCTTGAAGTCATATAGTGCCAATATTTCGGCCCACCGAACCTGTCTGCGGTTGAGTTCTTTTGTGGTTGTTCAGTATAACAAGTTCTTGTGGTCAGTGTAGATCTAAACTTAATACTTAGCGCCTTCAAGATATACTCTCCATTCCTTGAGACATACCACGATAGCGAGTAGTTCCTTGTCGTGGATATCGTAATTCAACTCCGGCCCTGTCATTCTCTTTAAGAAGTACGCGATTATCCAGGTCTTACCATCTAGCCCTTTTTGCGTGAGGCGGGCTCCGATCGCTTCGTCCGATACATCTGTCTCTACCTGGCATTCCAGCTTAGGGTCAAATATCGCAAGTACTAGCGCCGTCGTGATGGCTTCTTTAAGGCGTTCGAATGCCTTCCTGCATTCTGGTCCGAACTTAAACGAGATATCCTTCTTGGTAAGGTTCGTTAAAGACACTGCGATCTTCGAAAATCCCTCAATAAATCTTTAATAGTAGTTGAGTAGTCCAACGAAAGACTGTACTTCCATGACATTCTTAGGTTCTGGCCAGTCCTTAATTAGCGCTATTTTATCAGGATCCACTTCGATATCCTGATCAGATATGATGTGGCCTAGAAATCGGATCCGTTTTTTGTGGAACTCACACTTGCTGAGTTTTAACAATAGATCCTTTTCTTAAAGTTTCCTTAGAACCTTTCGAACATGCCGCACATGTTCCTTGTATATCTTCGAGAATATAAGTATATCGTCTAAGTATACAACTACGAAGTCATCGAGATATTCTTGTAGTGTGTCGTTGATCAGTTCCTGAAAAGATACCGGGGCGTTAGTCAATCTAAACGGCATAACACAATACTCGTACAACCCAAAGCTAGTTTTGAAAGCCGTTATCCATTCATGGCCTTCCTTCATCCGTACTCAGTAGTAGGCGTCCTATATATCGAGCGCGATAAAGTATTTTGCATCAAGGAGTCTGTTCTGCAGCTCCTTAATCAAGGGTAGTGGGTATCGGTTCTTCCTAATGATCGCATTAAGTGGTCGGAAATCAATGCATGGTCGAAGAGATTCATTCTTTTTTGGGGCGAACAGCACACTGTGTGCTATGGATGACTTGGATGGTCGAATAAAGCCTTTCTTTAAGTGAGTCTTTATGTACTCCTTGAGGAAGCTTTCTTTCTTTGGGGATAAGGGTCGAAGCTAATCGTTATGCTTCGGCACTTTCTCTTCTTCGAGCGTTATTTCATGGTCTCATGG